CTACGACCTTGAACAGGACCTGGGAGCTGGTAGTATACTGTCTACACAACGAGCAGCTCGTATTTATGCGTGTGGGATTCATACAAGTCACAGACGGGCCAGCGAAAATGAGTAGTAGGAGATATCGGAAGCCTCTCCGTCAACTACTTTCCCTATCTAGTTGCTCGTGGATCCTTTCGGCTTCTTTCCTCCGATACGAATTGCGAAGATGCCTGCTTATCGAGACTGTTTTTGATAGAATATCTACTGGTAAGCCAAGGTGAAGGTCAGGAATCGTTGTTCTTCTAGTCGTTCAATCATGCGCTAAGTCATGTAGCGTTAAATAAGGCTAAATGTGATAGACGGACGTAAACATAAGGTAGAGGGGGCTGTATCTGCTTCTATCTAGCCCGGTCGAAAAGTTTTTACCAACGAATATTTTCTAATCATCCTCAAAAATATTATTTTATAGGAAAACATATGCGAGTAGCAGATGCAAAAGGACTCGTACGATCACTCCCTGCGCAACTGCAACGTCATGCCCGAGTATTTGTTTACTCAAGGCAAAAGGAAACCAACAGAAGCATGGTATCTACAATCTAAATTATAAGCCGCAGTCTATGGGGACAAAATTCCCAGGGTTTATTTAACTACCGAGATCCCTTTGCAAATCCGTCGATCTCAGTCCCATGTGAAGATCTTCGACAGGCGCGAATACTAGGTTAGTACGTAACACTTTAAACTATTGACAGAGATATATGTACATAAAAGAGCAAGACCCAAACTATCATCTGGGATCTCCTGATTATGGGTCCGAAATGATACTACTAAACCTTGGCTAATGGCCAATGCCGCGTCACAAAAGTGGCAGAGTCCTACGTCCCTGCGAGGGAGGCTTATCATGAGTTTACACAGATATTTGTAATGTTTTTTATTTATCAATTCAACAGTGTACATAGGATAAGCACTTACCGAGAGCCCTACCAAATCCGTACACCATAATCTACCTAGAGTATTTTCCTAACATGTCTCATACGAAAAGATCCCCTTGGCGAGCTACGCGTATCCTGGCGAGATAATATCGGACCCTCGGATCTAGATATCGACCCAGGGATCAGTGGGGTATGGTAATACTTTGCGAGGAGGACATTGCTAAGGAAGCTGAGCTAGGAACCGGGAGCTTTACGAACAGGTTGACTAAATGGTATGATATGCGGCGGCTTGGGGGCCGAATCTAGGACGCCTAGGACTACGGATGATGTTCTACTTGCGAGTAAAAGACTCAGTGCTTTAGGGTATTATTGAGACCGATTCGGATAATAGGTTCAATTAATAGCTTTAGAACTAAAGAACAATCACATTATGATATAGAAACTTATCAGATTCTTATTATACGATAGGCCGCAATAGCTGTCCTATCAACATCAATCCAGGTGAGAATGAGGCTTCTCGTACGCTACAGGTTTAACCCCCACGAAAGACGCGTTCGAGCTGGTGGGGAGTAAAGATAACCAACTCCTCAGACATCTGCGGCTTAAAAATAAATCCCCGTACGATCTATATCAAGTTAGACTACAATATGCCATAGGTAGTTTCGGTACAAGCCAGCGCGCATCGGCTTGAGTTTCAGCTGTAGAGAATACTTGCCTTATTCCACTTCAGCTGGTAGTACTAGTAGTAATATAAACCCACTTAAACAACTATTCAAGATTTGTCCTAACCTGGGTGAAAGACCTCGGAGTTCCCATGCTATACTTCTAATAGTATGGCTTACATGTCACATCACATCCTATGGTAGACACCAGCGGTGCGGGTACGGGATGATGACAGGCATCGGTCCGAAGTGTTATTTAATTAGAATTACAACCGGTCGACGGCTCGGAAGCGAGTTTTAAAAAGAGCACAGATGGAGCACAGATGGACAAGCCTTGGCTCACCTTGGGCCCTTTTTGCGTATACTGGGACAAATACGAAAGGTTACACAATGCTTCGATATTGAGTAGGTATCGGAATCCGATATAACCCGAACCCCAATGGCGCTTCGGCACAGCGTCTAGGTTAGTCCCTTTCAAGGGTAAAGTCGAACCCGGCATGAGCTGGACCGAAATACCTCTAAGCGAAATACGGCACGGCTCATATAAGAATACCATTAATGGATTAATGGGCCGGGGGAGCCTCGAGGTTTAAGTCCAACATGGTCAAAAGTACCTAACCTATAGGTATGGTGGGGGCATATTACTTATACAGGTGCGCATTGAAAACTCCGAGCTGTCAATTTAACTGGCGGTGGAATCCAAGTATCCAAGTTGAGTTGCTAGAACGCGTACTCGTATCTTTACCGACGTGAAATCGAGGCGGTAGAAGAAATAAGATGCAAGGCGCGCAGCTGGTACCTGTCAGGTGACGGCTTGTAACGCAGGTAGAAATAGATGATCGCAAGAGTGGAGGTGGAATCATCTATTCCCTTTTTTTTTTTTTTTTTTTTTTGGGTAATCGATGAAGGAAGCACCGAGGGTTCCTCTTATGTAGAGCCTCGTCCACATTCTTGAATGTGCAGGATGGAATACAACCGTTACGGGTAAGTAGTTGGTGCAATGTTGGTGCATCGGAAGCGCTCGGATGGACAGACAGCTGAATTGCCCAATCTTTTCACCGACACGTATTAGTTGATAATGGATTAAATATGATTTGCATCTTTCAGCCCAACTGGAGGCTTGTGCAAGGTTTCGCCTCATTCGAATTAACTATGCTCCAGTATTGGTGGGAATCTCATCCAGATTTGCCAACTTCACCCGGGCAATTTTCAAAACTGGACAATCCATGTTGCCATGTTGCCATGCTGCGATGCTGCGATGCTACCAGCGGAGCTGCATCAAGTACGAACGGCTAGGCCGCGAATAGGTAAGAATGGATCCAACATCCGGCACAAACAACGGGCTTGTCTATGCAGGGCTGACCCGCTTAGGCTCATCTCCTAGCTGCTGCGCTGTCCAATACTGTCTGGTAATCCGTTTGCAACTCCAGGTTGGAATTCTACATAGAACGACCTCATCCCTAGCTCCCTAGCATAGAGGATGTCTTCGCCGCGAACATAGGGTTAAGAGTGAATATAAGCAACGTAGTATCCGACAAGTTGTCTTATAAACCGGTTGTAAAGTGTACAAGGCAGTTTCAGGTAGCTCGTGGGAGAATAGATATATTATAAAAAAGAATATGAAAGGGGGTGTCAGGATGGAGGAACTTAAAGTATGACACAGGTAGGATGTAAACGATGCGGCGCGTTGCTAATAGACTAACCTAGACTCGAATTACGACTCGACTCGATTGCTCAACTGATACAAGGGAGGGAAGGTTTACGTTACTCGAGAGAAAAAGAGGCGGGAGGATTCAGAAGTTCGAAGGAAAAAAAAAAAGTCTAAAAAGAATGTCCGTCAGCCCATTGGATCGGCGTGGGGATTGTACGACGGTTATCATGCACTCCATCCACGGGGTAACACTTACCTCTATGTAAGTAAGAAGCGTATTACCTAGGTTAGTCGTAATTGTTGTAACATGTAGTATAGTACATTAGGTAGCTGCAATGTACCTAAGATAGGGTCCGCCACCAGCGCCTAATGTATGTAGGTATGTAGGCCTGCGCATGCAGAAAACAGACAGAAGCTACATCTGCCGCCGCTACTACATGCCTTGTACCTAGGTATCTACATGTACCTAACCCCCTATTTCTGCCTACCTAATATACCTGTATACCTGGTACATACACGTAACCACTTACCTAGGAGAGCCTTAGGTACATGTAGTGTATGTAGAAGGAAGCTTAAGCCGCCCCGAACAACCTCGCTCACTTCAATACAACGTTAATAAACGCGTCCACAAAAGGGCGGGCCGACCGTGCTAAATATATTTGTACCACTCTTTAACTCTTTAGGTACATTGGCAATTACGCATCATACATTAAGAGCCTTGGAATCTACCTCGTACATAGGAAGTTACATAGGAAGTTTACATAGGAAGTTTACATAGGAAGTTACCTAGGTACACTACAAGAAATTGGCAAGAGTTAGGTACCTACCTATGTACATATAAATATAAGGAAGGGAAACCTAAAATATATAATATGTAGTTGATCGGCTTCCAATTCTTAATCTTTCACCTTTACTTTCAATATTCACAGCCTACAAAACCCAAACTCGACTTCTTAAAGGTTTCCGTAACCTGTAACTACGGATTACTTGGTAGGTATTAATGTTATGGATTATTCTTATTGTTCTTATTAATATGCATATTGTCAAAATTCCATATCCATATCCATCTTTTTACCCATTAATCAATCTTCCCACTAAATTACCTATCTAGGTACAATACCCAGCCCAGCCCAGCCCAGCCGGACCGGGGTTGCATTTTTTTCTTCTTCTTCTTAGGGGGTGTGTTGGCTGCATACGTATTTTTCATCACTGTACGTACTTTGTGCCTAGGTTAGGTGCTTAAGTGTAATGCTGTTGCATTTTTCCCATCCATTTTCACCATTTGGTCCATCTCTTTAGTCCATCTCTACCTGTCCATCTTACATGTTCTTACATGTACATACATACATATACATACATACATACATACATACATACATACATACATACATACATACATACATACATACATGTAATATACCCCTCTTTTTGGCCCCCTAATAACCTGCTGTTTTGTACTTAGTCCCCTTTATCTTTTTTTCCTTTTGCAATCCTCTCACGGGTGTACCGAAGAATCGCTGCGTCTGATCCCTTTCCCTGGTTCGTCGCTCCAAGCAAGGAAAGGGGCCAGCCGCGCTTTTATTTTCGTCATCCCCGTCCCCCGACTTCACCCAACGCGGCTCTTTTTATCTGATTGTTTCTTAAGCGGCTACCCACATACATATCGACATACATATCTACCTCGACTTAAGGTATCCGCTTGAATCCGCTTTGACCTTATCTTCCGTCAACACGCCAACAAGCCAACACGCCAACACGCCAACATCCAGAAGCAATACATAAAACATTTTCCATCCGCCGCTTGGATGACGATACCTTCACCACTCCACACCAGCTAAACCCATCCCGACCGCTGCTTTGTTGTTTGTCGCTTTAGTGATAGACACGAGCTGACGGGCTGACGGATTTTGCTCTGCTGATCAATTCCCGACCTTAGCGCCTCTGATGCGCTTTTCATGAAATCCGGAGCTTGAGGCTAGCTTGGAGCTTAAGCTGAAGCTGTGGCCAAAATCGAAAAACATGCCTCCTCCGAGACAAGGCCGTTATCAACCTGCGTTCGTCTCCTCCGTCGCCTCAAATTATTATCAAATTATTCCTGTCATTATGGTCTAAGTAACTAACGTTCCAATTCTGCGAATAGCCGGGAATTTCACGTTGTTGTGCTAGGTGCAGGTAAGGGTTTTTTTTCCTACTCTTCTCTCATCCACCAGCTGAGGTGTACGATCAAGCTTTTTTTTCTTTACTTTTTTGAGGTCTATTCTATGTTGAAACATTTTTTCCCCCTTGCTTATGCGTAACCGCCGCTAACTTCTGCTAGGCGGTGTCGGGAAGAGTTGTCTTACAGGTAATCATCCTTCCTAGCTGCGACTGGTTCCGATTGGATCATCTTGAATTCAAACGAAACGCGATCTGTTTACGCCTCGTGCGTCATTCTCTACGCTAAGAGCCCAATTGCTAATGGGCTTTTATTTTATTCATGATAGCTCAATTTGTCCACAACGAATGGATTGAGAGTTATGACCCGACTATTGAAGACTCGTATCGAACCCAGGTGGCCGTCGATGTAAGTGTAACTTTACCTGATTTCTCTCTAACCCCGTTGGTTTAGGCGTCAACGTCTGCTAACACATTTGGACCAGGGTCGTCAGGTAGTTCTGGAGATGTAAGACAATGCCAACTACAAACATGACCCACCATTATTTTCTTGCTGCCGCTTTGGCACATACTAACTAGAGATAGTCTAGATACTGCAGGCACTGAACAGTTCGGTTGGTCACATTACTAACACACCGTTTATTCGTAACTATGCTAACTCGGCTCCAGTTGCTATGCGGGATCTGTACATGAAGACTGGTCAAGGGTTTTTGCTAGTCTATAGCATCACTTCGAGTTCGTCATTAACTGAGCTAGCGGGGCTTCGTGATGAGATCATCCGTATCAAAGACGACGAGACCGTGCCAATTGTGATCTGTGGAAACAAAGCCGATCTAGAAGACCAGCGGTCCGTGCCACGCACCAAAGGCTTCCAAATCTCGGAGAGATGGGGTGCGCCATACTATGAAGCTAGTGCTCGGACGAAGAGTAAGTGCATTTACCCACAGTTCCTTCGCATGCACTCGCTCCTACCCATACTTGGAGCTCCATGGTTATAGAATAGCTAGGCTAATACTTCGAAGCAAACGTTGACGAAGTATTCATCGATTTATGTCGACAAATGCTACGAAAATATGATGCCGCGGAGCCCTGCGCCGAGGATCAAGACGACAAGTTCGATCCGTACTCCATATCCTACTATAAAAGACGAAGGCGGAGGAAAGACGGCGAGCGAGGCTCACACCATCGACCTAAATGTGTTATTCTATGATTCCTCCAGTAGCTTTCACTCAAGAGCTTATGAGGGATGTGGGTGAAAGCTTGCATGAGGATTCAGTTTCACGGGGCATGCGACAACTAGTCGTCAGGACGTCTTTTCGGATTATAGAATAGCTACTGGTTTAGGTGCAAATACTCTACACTATGGAAAAGTCCAGGCGCTTATAACGGTTACCTAAAACGAAGACGACGAGGCTCTCTAGGCTTGAGAGGTTTCTTAGGTATATCTCAGTTTCATATTTTGCCGCTATTTTGCAGCGCTTCGTCGGACCAACATTTGGTCGACTTTCGCTTCGACGATTTCCGCGGCGAAGATCCTTTCGCAATCTGGGACGGACGTCCAGGATTATGGACGGGCTTGTATGTTCATCGTATTGTATGGGGAGGGCATAGTATGCATACATCACGGATCAGCAAGCGAACAATAGTGTTCCAATCTCGGACATGGGGCCCACATGCATATGTAGGCTCCCCGAGTTATCATGCCGACCGTTTATTTTATGTTTTCGGGACATTTTGGGTTCGATGTGGAGCTTTTATCTTGTCTTTTGTTTTCTTGTTGAAGATCCGGACTGCGCAGGCAACTTACATACTTGAGAATCCATTTACGATACTACAGCACCTACACTTACCTTACTCGTCACAGAGAAATGGGCATGTCCGCCCCAGAATATATATACCCACTCTGCCGCCGAAATACTCGATACCCCTCTTTTGAATTGGGAAGTGATTGAAACGATGTGATTATTCATGTGATTTTATATGCTAGCTAGGTAGCTTGGAGATCCGGGGATTCAAGGGCGCATTGCTCGGCAGTTGACCGACTTGTTGGAAGGAAGCTCTCGAATACATACATACCCCGGTCTAGACGATCTTGACTCGTATAACGGGTTGAGCTTGTACGAAAATAGATCGAGGTAACATCCGAGGCTCTGCCTCCACATGGAAGGGTCCAAGGTAGATCTTGTTGCTTGGACCACCTTGGACCAGCTGACTTGTGCTCATCACACCTAGGTGGGCTATTTGAGCTCACCTATGTAAGAGCCACGGCTGTCAAAACTACGGAATGCGCTACTACATATGTATACATACATGGTGTACATATATATCTTTTGCCCCCGCCCTGCAGTACTAGATCAACCGGTGGAGTTTCTATCGTATCGTATCGTGCGCGTTTCCTTCTCAAAAGAAGCAAATAGTGGCCAGAATAGGAAAGGGAGACATCCGGAAGAGGTTGGGCGGCGGGGTGGGATGCAACCTATGGCCAAGTTTGGTCCGCTAGCACCAATGTGGACGGGTGAGGCTTAACACCTGAATGGCACATGCGCGTCGCTCGAAACGTGAGAAGTCGATCTGCTCTTGTTATACCGGGGTGCTGGCTCCTTTACGCATACTGTGCCCGCGACTTGGCGGAGGGATGAGATGGCATAGGTGGTTCGTCGTCCGAGGGCTCCGCTGACCCGGTTCAGCAGGATCTAGCTGTATACATATGTACGTGTGTATGCGTTTATGTAGGTATACATACGCGCGGCTAGATGTCACGAGGCTGGCTGGCGGGCTTGGCTGTTTTCTCGGGCTGCAGGTATTCTATGTGAATGGTTGGCTACGCGTGATGAGGAGGGGGGGTTATATGTATTTACGACATCCCTCGCTTGGAATACTGTCTAACGCTTGTCTAGCATCAATGCCCAACGATACTGTGTCTTGTTCTTAACTATGTAACTACCTGGTATATACATACATATGTGGTTGTACATAGAGAGTGATCCGCCGTGTCACGTAGACTTACATATGTAAACGATAGGGTCACGAGTTGTAGATTCGTATAAGTATTAGAAGCACGGCTAGCGTGACTCGAATGGTTAGAATAGGTACCGATATACTTAACAGGAAACAGAAGGATGGCAGTAGCCTTGACCCTCCCCAAAATTAGTGCAATTAGGTATGTATGTAAATGTCAAAGCAACATCACACTATTAGTGCCTGGCGCTAAATTAGGTATCAATAGTCTCTTACTATGACTAATGCTCCACGTGTATATGCCGAGGTGGGTAACTAATAGGAGATCTTGATGCTAACCACCTGGTTGTCGGAGATAATCACCTTGATACATTGCCGTAACATTGGCCATCACTAACTTGTCTAACCAGGCAATTGACATAACATATGTAATGCCCCATGCCGGCACCCTGGGGTAAACTATCTCTCCTCGTATACTGGAGCTGTCAAGACTCTTTAACTATGTAACTGCGTAAAGAACCATCCCCTGTTAGCTCAAGTATTAACCCACAACCTCTCGGCATGGCCCTTGGCTCTCATAAGTAATAGTTAAGCTGGGGTACTGTAAGCTCCGTAACATGCTAACCTGGCTTGAAATTCATGGTAGATTGGGACAGGATAGTTTCTTAATAAACACTAGATTGATAGCTAGCGAGGATATCATCTGTCTTCGCGTCCTTTCCTTGACCATCGAATTCTTCCAAGTGTTAGATAACCAAGTCGAGCAGACGCTGTATGGATCAAACGAGTCTGAGGGTGGTGTCTGCGTAGACTAACTTCTCGTCGATGTATAATAAAGCTCGGGCTGAGGCTGAAGCCGACGTCTGCCCGAAACCGAGTTTTGCATATGTAATGCAGACTTTCATTGCAGCAAAGGTTTTCACTGGTGTTGCTATGCTGTCCAGGCCATAGGGTATGTGGGTATGTTCACAGAGTCGTAGCCCAGTCTTGCTGATGAAATCGAATAGGAGCGTTTCGAAAAGGAGCATTAGAACTAGCCTTTTAAGAACCAGCAGATTTAACTTCGATATATCGCTGTAGGGTCTTTTTCTGGAGGGCACGTTGCTCGTTGATGACCTCCCACAACTCTTCATTTTCCTTCCTCAGTTCTTGATCCCCAACAGTATCCTCGGCTGGTACCTGGAAGGCGAGGATGGCTTGTTCTAAGACATCATGCGGGAGTCCGTTAGATTTAAGCATCCTGCTGAACTTCGTATCTTCTGAGATATCAGAATCTAACCGGGAGGTAAAGTTATAACTGCGGCTTCCCAGGAATGGCTTCACAACAGCAACTGGCTTGGTAGGCCGCGAGGTCGGAAGTGGAGAGACAAAGACGATATTTGTGACAGAAGCGTTGAGGTTTGTTAGCTCCGTGGAGTCGGCACGACTGCTTAAGTCCCAGCGTAGAATCTGGCCTCGAGGGTGGCCCGATACTAAAGTCGTACCATCGTAGCTCAACGCCATGCACGATGCCGGTCCCGCCTCCTGAGGCGTAGCGCCAAAGGCCGAGGAAACTTGAACGGCCGTAGAGCTGTCTTCTATACTCTGAGGACCTAGCAGAGCTTTATCGGCAAATAAGTCAATTGCATACAGTGAGCCGTCATCGGAAGAAACATAGATAGCTCGTGCACACGGGTCGAGGGATACGCAAAGTGGCGAGCTCGGGAATAGCAATGTCCGTAGAGCGACACCATGCTGATAATTCCAGATGACACAAGACTTGTCCTTGCTTGCCGAGACGCAGATGTTGGTATCCGGATTTACGCTTGAACCGATAGCAAGAGACGTGATGGCGGCTCTGTGATTCGACAGCGTCTCCTGAGGTTCGTGTTCGATGGTCGAGTCCAGCTCCAGCAAGCGGGGAACAAACCAGACATTGATGTTCGAGTCCTCGGACCCGGTGAGAAGGTGGTAGGGCGTAACAGCGATACATGTAATTGCTTGAACATGGCAAGCAGACGTAGTTACTTGTCTACCGGTGCAGACCTCCCATATGATAAGCCTGCCCTCTTGCGAACCCAAATAGAGCACATCGTCTTGCAGCGCGATGCTTCGGATGCGCTCTGGAAAAGTAACCAAGGCCTCTTGATTGCCCTTGGCCCTCGAGTAGACGTGTACTGTTGACTTGTCCTCCTGGGCTGTAAAAACATGCGTATCGCTCACGGCCAGACAATGACGGGGAGCAGAGCTTTTCTTAAAGGTAGTTGTCGTCGAATGGCTGGGGTGGAGTGTATGCTCATAAATCCCGGCATCTTTTGAGATGGTCGTGTTGTTAGATAACGGCTGTCCAGCCACGGACACGAAGTAAGTTTCGGTCAACATTGGCCCCTATTCATCTGGACTCGTGCTGTGCTGGTCTAAGAGGTAGATTTGTAATTTATTCTACTAACTAGTGCGTGCGTAAGTAGCCAGATTAGGTACTTTGGATATTTTTAGGATTGGTCCGATTACGTATGTCGATCCTGTGATGTTCTATGTACTTGTCCGAAGATTGTGCAAATGACTGGTTGTTGTACGTTTTGATGATGTTCTATATTTGATGTTCGGTGTTCGATGATGTATGTTAGTGTAGCTATTTTTTTTTCTTCTTCTCCCTTTTCCCCCACAAATTTCCATTGGTGGTGGTTCATCGTTGATAGCCCCACCAACATGCAGACGTTATGCAGGTCGCTTGTGGCTTTCGGTGGAACCGTCAATGCGGCGCTATGTAGCCTCAGAGCTTGGCGTAAAGGGTAGGTACGTACCTTTCCATTATCGTCCAAGTTTAGAATCTACATAGGTAGGTATAATCTGGAGCATTTCACGTGGTGTCTAATAAAATAAGCTTGCTTTGTTCTATTGGATAATTTAAATACTTAAATGAGTAAAGTACCTCAGGCCTCACATAATCTGGGTAAGGTAATTCATGTTTTTGTCCTGTTACCCTTTACGACTAAGCTTCAAATAGCATCCGGGTTATATATTCCTATTCTAGACTTTCTCCTCTTTGGTTCCTTCGTTCGCAACTTCATGCACGATTCGATGCATGACCGAATGGGTGATTGCACATATTAGGCCGTTGAAAAGCGATTTGGTCTCGTACATGAGAAATGGAAGGGGTTTAACGGCGGCTACATACGTGCATCGTCTCCAATCGATTCCATCATTTTGCCCGATGGTTCATCATGTTGTTGTCTATATTTTCGACAACGGCTTTGTTCATCGGAGGTGGCAATCCCTTGGCTACGATATACATGGAGGTATGTATGCGGGTAGCCAAGACGAACCAAACTAAATCCTGCGACCGACGATAACTGACCAACCCGACTTCGAGGCTAGGCTTCCCTCAACTTCGAGAACGGGTTAGAAGCAACTTCACAGGCAACGTGGTCGCCTATGTATCTGTCGTGTCGCTTGCCAGCTGCAACGAGATCGGGTATGTATTATTATCATTCGATCAAATATATATGTACATCTTATTCTACGTAGATGCAGGGGTAAGTCGTTTGAGGGAAGATAAAACAAGTTGCTTACCTAGGTAGACACCTAGAGCATTATTACTTCATGCCAAGTTTACTGGAGGATCATTTACCTGTTAGACACCACGTACAACGTCGCGCACGTACAATACAGAAGGGTACGGAGCAGGCGTTGCTCAGGCCTCGGAGCTTTCTTCGATCAGTATTCTCCTCCATCTGACAATTGAATAGTTAATCTTGCGCCATGATCAATTTTCTCCAACCGAGGGTCCAAGTTTGGTCGGTAAACCATGCTGCCCATGGCTCGCCAGAAAACCCTCCGCATTAGGAAAAATAAAAAAAAGTATGGTGTAATGCGGTCACGTATGAAGTAATCTATTGGTTAGTTAGACGTGAATAATTTCCAAAAACAATAGCAGCGTTGCATCGTATTAACTTGGCGAATGGATTTCTGGACCTCTCAATTAAATTGACTGATTGGTTTTTGTTAGGACGCTATTACAATCAATACTACCCTAGCAAGCGATCCCTTGGCGAGAAGATCGGACAGTTAAGTTGAAAACTTGGAGAGTTTTCAACGTGTGAGAAAAAGCAAGGATTTAGATATCTTCTAGGATAATTTCCAGGATATTTCTATATGTACAACTACCTAACCTAGGTAGGCACCTATATTAACTATGTTATGTGTAAGACTGTCTTGGGTGAAATGTTTGTTATGTCTGATTTGCTGTAACTCGGGGAATGGTTATTTGTGTAAGTTATTGCGGCATTAGCATCGTGAGAAAAAAAAAGAATTGAGAAATGTTTCTTCTTTTTCTTTCTTTTTTCTTTCTTTTATCGTTGTTGATAATAGGTTATAGGTAGGTAGGTAGTTATGTATTCCGTACATACCTACCTAGGTAGGTACATATGTATTAAGATAATTGTCAAAACGAACTAACCTACCTAGGTTAGGTACTTAAGATAATGAGCTCAGGTCCCACATTAGTTTCCGTTCTCCTTTAAACTTTGCGACCCTCTTCTCAAAAAGACCCCTGACTTGTCCTACCGTGTCCTTGTCCTTGTCGGGGTCCATGGTTCATAGGTAGTTTCTTCATCTCTGTCCAATTACGAAAACCAACCCACGTACGAACATAGCTCCATCCTTCACTAAATGAACCCCTGTCCACCGCTCAACTCCTTCCTGGGCCTCTGGGCCTCTGGGCCTTCAAACCCATGTGGATTTACAACCCAGCTTGAGCCTTTTTTGCACGACTGTTTTTGTTGATTTCTAGCTCCCTCGGATTTGTTTTCAACATCGATTAAACAATTCGGTTTACCTTCGCGCCTCTACTAACACAAATCATAATACGCCAACTACCACGAATTAAAACTAATCGGAGTTGGGAAATCAACTGTTTTCAATACTTATTGTTTCGCGTGAAAAGAAACTCCTAACTTAGGATTTTATTACCGGCTTACACTCCCCTGCAACGCCACCGACCGATTGACTTGGACGCACGAACGAAAGTCACGATGGGGAGCTTTGAACCCCTCATGGACTTCAATCTACCGGAGCTTCTAGTTGGGGATTTAGAAGAGTCGAAAGATGTTTTCAAGTCGAGGCAATTGACTGCTGGTGCGCCAGCTCCATCGTTAGCCGGTGACGGATCTAAGAGACGATATTCACTGCAGGACAGTTCGTTAAGCGCTGCTCATTCGTCTAATCTCCTAGACACGATGTGGAAGGCCAAGTCACTGCAGAATGTGAATGAGACGCAATCTCATTTCTTTACCATCCGCGGCGAGTCACACCGGAATCGTAGCGATTCCGATTCGGCCAGTAGTGAATCATCTTGTGGATTGATGCCTCCATCAATCGGCACACGGGACGCATCCATCGCCACAACAGCCACGTCGGTTACTTCTGAGAGGTTGGGGCCACAAAATCAATTGAAGAAATTAAGGCTTGTAATACAAGATAGAAAACAAGCCGGTCAAAGCTGGATAGACCTAGATGCCGAGGACCCAACTTCTCCGGATCGAAGATACAGTATGATTAACATCCCGTCACCTGCTCAGTACTTGTCACTACGACATGACCTAGATGAATCAAGGAGCATGTCTTTAAACTCGGTTGTGCTGCGGCGTCCCAACTCAACTAGCTCTCCTCCAACCTCGCCAAAAGTCTCCTCAAAATCATCACCAAAAGCATCCCCGAAAATGTCGCCAGGTAGTGTTAAATCTTCGGGTGCTGGCGAACAGCGAAACCGTGTTGGGTCGTCTTTGACATGTCCTACCCCACCCCCAGAGCGACGTTCTTCTCTGATGCACCGAAACTACCCTGTGCTTCCCAAGATCAACGTCTCGCCCTCTCTACAAGTCTTGTCGAGTCAACCTTTGTCAACACAGCGTGAAGACGCGACATCATCTCCAGACCGCAATATGCCCTTATTAGCTCCACTCCAACCGTCTCGTAAAAAGGCGGATGATGTTAGCAATGAGCGTGATGCTAGTAAAGCCGGCTTCCACTTACCAGAGGCGGACATCGAAAGGGATGAACCCGGACAATACTCGCACGCGGAGAGTACTGAATATCCAGAAATTGCCGCGGCTGGAGTCGATGTTGAATCCTGGTTAGAGTCTAGCGTTGACAACTTTCCCTACTACGCTCAGAATAGAGCTGATGGTGGGCATATGCCCCTACCGCTTCCGCCAGATGTCATTGATACCCTTCGAATATCAATAACATGCTTCCCGGAAACAATGCTTCAGTGTTCTAGCCTCTCTATCGAGACCATACGCGGCCACTCTAGGAAATTGAGGTATAAGTCCTCTAGTCCTGCAAGTATATATGCGGAATCGCCCGTTTCAGTAGACTCGTCAGACCAGTCAAAGCAGACGAAATGGAAGTGGTTACCAATGTTAAGACAGCAGTCATCTCCTACGGAGGCGCCTACCAGCCCGCAGCGAACCGGGTTTGGGGAGAGTCTGGAACCAAAGTATAGCCCGGTATGGCCTAAGAAACCGGACTGGACCACAATTCAAAACCTCTTCCCCTCCGGATCTGATTACCTCTGTGATGCCCTCTACGCCCACCTCGTAGCGTACAACTACATCACTTCGCTATGTCCCCGCTCAGTGCTAATCAATACTACCACTTCGAGACCTACTTCCAAATCCTCAACAACACCCTCGGAACTCAGTCTCGGCCTTTCAGTTGACCTCCGTACTTCAGTAGACATACGCGCCTCTACGGACGGAGGCTCAATCCCACGGAAAGCAGCAAATTTACTCGGCCTGCAGGAGGATCCGAATGCACCGATCCCCGAACCGCCTTCTTCACGATGCAACACACTTCGCACCAAGCGATCATTCTTTACAGCGTCTAGAGTCCTCTCTTATTATGAAGTTAGTAGACCGACAACAGCCGCAGGTTCCTCCACTGGCCGCCGTATTCCCCAACCTGATCAGGGCGAGCAAGTGTTAAAAGATTTACGGTTGGGACTGGCGAGATGCATCTCAAGACTTGTCGCTACGTTACGAACGACGAATGGCAGCCGTACAGGTCCTGATGGCGCGGGGCAAATGAAGCGAGAAGAAGATCCTGACTTTATGCGAGCACTGTGCGAGATCGTGCGCCTTTCTGAGGAGAGATACATGTAGCATGAATACGGCTACAGCGTCACGAGCCATTTGATTAATCAACTACGCCTATGCCCATATATGATGCCATATATGATGGACCATGCAGCAAAGATACCCTCACGATATATATATATATATATATATATATATTAATACCCACGAAGCGAAGACACGAGAGACGGCTTTTCAACACTAGTGATCCGCATATTCTTAGCACGTACTACCGCAAACGGCATTTTACTTTTCATCAATGGACAATTCTCATTTGTCTACCTAATGTACTTGTGCACTTTCCGCCATATCATGTCACCGGGCAAAAGCCACTACTCTATATGTATTTATTGCGCTATGATTTGGTTTCTGCTGCTAATTATAGAAGAGGGCTAAGATGACGGACGAAATCTTTGGTCCAAGTTAAGTTTGCCTCAGAGGTGGATGAGGCCAGAGAGTAATAATCCGAAATGTTGGGACATTATGGAATGCGTGCAGGAAGCGTTTTCGTACGGGAACATAATTCAGGGGGGGCATATTGATAGATTCTATACCTCTTGTCTGTTAACCGGTATACTGGGATCGGAAAAGGGAATCCATGACTGGAGTTATGGAGTTGACGAATATGGTCTTTATAGGTTGGGTGCATGCATATATATCTGAGGTCAAGGGAATCAGTAGTTCATTTGTGTGATAATTAATTAATTATTGTTACATACCTAGGTAGGTTAGGTAGCTACACCAAATTCTGAAGGCTACTATTATCGTTCTTTCAATATCCGATGTATGCATTCTATATATTCTACGAGAACGTACGGAGAACAATAAATGAGGCAGCTTGAATGAGGCTTACATGTATGTACCTATGTATCAATTGATTAATTGATTAATTGATTCCAACCCTAGTCGATAGTTGCAATTGGTGCCTTCGGGCTATTCTAGGCTATAATACAAACCATTATACATGTTAGCGCCATACCGGCATTCTGGACGAGGCCTGCGGGGAGGGTTCAACCACGCTAGAACGCATCTAGCCAACCAGCTTCTATTACTAATAGTAGCTAGTTAACCTAGTACATAGTGTATACATATAGTTAGTTATGTATATATAGTTCTTAACCTAGCTCTTACAAGTTACAACACCTAGATGATGGGCCGAGCCCGTCGGAACACAGAACATAGAACATAGAACACGGAACACGGAACACGGAACACGGAGTAAGGGGGTGTATATCCTCTCTCTCCCCGTCACCATTACTTCAACTCCTGTAAATACTACACTGCTGGAGCAAGGGCGCTCTATGTTATATGTTATGTATCACACGTAACGGAATTTGAGACTGCAGAGATGCTGGTGAAACATGTCACGAGAATTTCCCACCCGTGCATAGGAGGTACATACAAATGGCCCCCCTGGTTATATGACGATAACTACCTGACCTGAGGTACCTCAATACCTAACCTTATATAGGTATGTACCTAGGATACCCCTACTCTGCCTGTAAACAGTAAAGTAGCACGAAGCAATTAAAATAACGGTCCAATATTATAGGTAGTTGACATATACAATACTACTATGTAATCAAGAGCACACCTTGCCAATACCACTGCCGGACTCCCACATGGTAAAGGAAGTTAGATTACACAATATGCAAGCCTATCTCCTATTATGCAATGCTCATAATCAAAATACAACGTGCCTCGCCACGTGCCTCGCAACCATGTTACTCCAATCATATGCCTAACAATAGGTATCCTTCGCTTCGCTTCCCGTCGTACCAAAATACAAGCAAGCTGCCCGGCCTACCTGGGTAGGTAGGTACCTAAACAATCATGCATCACCTGTAATCCGTCGTATCATCAAAAGGATACCTATCCCTCAACACACCGCCAACCTGTCCTTTCTCCGCGAAATCATTCATCCCCGTGAACCCGCTCGACGACCTCGTCGTCGTAGGCGGCCAGAAGAAGCTACCGCCCTTGCTATCCGAGTCGCTAGGCGGATACGGCGTAGCGACAGACTTACCAGGGCCTTGAGGTAGGCTATCAACGGTAGGCGTAGCCAGACGCCCGTGCATGCGGAACGTTTTCGCGTGTGCGTTACTGAGTCCCAGCAACCCAGCCGTGATGAGCAGCAGCAGCATGAAGATAATGGAACCGACCTGCGTCATGTTGCCGCTGAAAGAGGCCACCATGTACACGATCAGCTTAGCAGCCGCCTCGAGGTAACCGTCCAGATGCGTCTTTGCGCGCAGCCACGATGTCGTGGTGATGGCCTGCAGGTCCTCGGCCACGCCACGCAGACACACAGATCTGCCTTGACCTAGATCTACGAGGTACTCCGTCAACAAGCTGCTCACATCGGGTTTTGGCGGTGGAGCTACGGGAGGCTCGGACCGCTGCTTGATAACCCAAATATTAAGGACGCGGGATAGCATGAGTGCGAGGAGGGACGCTACGCCCCACCATTCCTGGAGCAGGATCATGAATACGAATGCGGTTACGGTAAGCGCGGGGCTCATGAGGTATAATACGTGCGAGACCCAACCTAAGTCGGCGCCTTGGTCCTGCCAGATAGTAGCTCGCTGGCCACGAGCTTGCCGCCGACCACTCGGGAAGTAGTAGTTGCGCTCGGGCATCATGCCTACGTCTACGGTGACCCTTTGCCCGACCATACCCACACGTTCTAGGTAGCGCTGGGTGGCGGTATTGGTGATATTATGCGTCGACGTCTGGCCCTCATAAAACTCAACGGCGCTGTACGACTCGGTCCTACCGGCGATCGCGTCGGCGGCCTGCTGGTAGTGCAGGCCGGGAGCAAGAAGCAAGGCATCGAGCCACGACGAGCCTCCTACGATCTGCGTGCGCTTGGCGATGGTTCCGAGGTCCGCAAGCGCGAGGAGACCTGATGCCGAGAGTGTGACACTCGGGAAGGGAGTTTGAGTCCAATTCGGAAACGAAGCCCCACGCTTTAATATGGTCTGGTTATGTTATTAGTATATCGTCTACGTAACGGTTTGCTTGGTTTGCTTGGGGTGGATCTCTCAACGCGCCTCCATTTCTAACCGTCTTCCAAGCTATTCGTAGCGTATATACCCTCTTAGCCGTATCAACGAGATGGAATTCACAACAGGCTCAAGTTAGCTGGCTGGCTGGAAGGTTGAAATTCGATCTTAGAAAAGAAGGCCCTGAACAAATATATAAAAGGCCGAGCGAGGGCTCCCCAAGATCAAATCACGAGGTCCGTAGAACAAGCCTCAGCGCTCGCCTGGGAAATTCCGGGTTTTCGTAGCTATCGTATGTAATTCAGCAAGAGAGTTGTATCGCGTGCAAGGCTCTGAGCTACCCCTCGCTGATCAGTAGGGCTAGCTCGTTGTCGAAGCAACCATAAGCAAGTCGACATGTGAAGGATGTAGGCAGATTGGCCAATAGCGAGGCGGCGGTGAGATCACGAGTACCCAACCCATCGTAGCGCAGGGAGATTATTACACCCTCCCGTCCGCGAAATATGCCAAAATATGTCGATAAGACACGGCTGGTATATTCTTGGCGTTTTAATTGAGCAATTCGGCAGGCAGATGCGTTTTAGTTTTAGTTCTTAGACATACATATGTAATTCTTATGTAGACATATTGAGGGGATTGGGGGAATGGGGAGATTTTGGACAAATCCGAGTGGAGGAACCAGTATACCTATCGTTTTAGCTGCTAGCTGCGGCAACTGCAGGTCATTGTGACAGCTGACTCCCTTATGTAGCCATTAAATTATGTAAGGTACCTAATACATAAGGTATGTAGGTATGTACCTAGGTAGCCACTAGGTAATTTCACCATCTTCTTCATAAATAGGTACATACATGTAAGGTTGATTGAACTGCATAATCAGGTCATTCATGTACTCCCAAATCTTACATACATAAGGTCTGGGGTAAATGTATGTAGGTACCTATGTACCATGCCCAGCCTTAGCTATGTATTGTACCTAATTATGTACCGGAACAAAACGGACCGGGCAAAGGTACGCCCTACGTTATCGATAAAAGCTCCCCGTCCTAATCCGATAAGTGCATAGATCCCCGTCTCTAGTACCTACGTCGACTGTAGCTCTTTGGCTCCTTCTCAACGTCCATCTACATCTTCTTTCCGATCATCAACTAGCACCGCTCAAGGGCTGCAGATCTCGCACGCGAATAGGCACTAGCTAGCATGACTTGACCCAAAATGGCGCCTACGCAGCCAGAGCCGACCTACACGGTTTTCGTTCGACTCCCGTTTCCTAGAGGCGACTTTGTCGATCCTCCGCCTGTACGTAATTCAATATTCAATATTCAATATCCAGTAGATTTCCATCTCGTCTCATCTTGCTGTTGGAAGCTAAATATATATATTCAGACGAATTGGGATTCTACCAAAGATGAAGTCCTCTGGAGCATCGTATCCCGTCCTTATAAGACAGAAATAGACTGTAAGTGACAATTATTCTATATAACTACCTCCTAGCGATTATACATGAAATAGGCAACTAATAACTACATACTAGGGAATGATATGTAAGTGCTACTTTGCATCCCCCAACGACGGTATTTTGCCAACTCGTTTCAACTCATTTCAAAGCGCAAACCAATTCGGAGTTACAGTCGACTTCCTCCTCCAGCAAATCACCTGGCTCAGCAATCATCGTACCTCTCAAATTCAAACCCAGTTGCGTAGGGCTGCTACAGCCTCTAAGGGCTCGGCACCGTCGCCTCAGCCCAGACCCGATGGCATGTTCTCCGCAGAACTTATGCGACGCACCGGGTCCGGTGATAGGTCGGTTCGAGCACCATCAGCATTGTCCATTAGGAAGGACTCACCTCTACCGCGTAACGATGGTAGTGTCCCCGGTACGCCAATGAGGAGTACTCCACGACCAACTGCGACGCGCATGTCTTCATCTAACACCGCCGTCCATACAAATCGCAACCTAGTCAACAGCGGCAAAGCTCCTGTAAAGTCCAACGTTGATCCCCAGCGCCACCGTCTCTCATCCCTTCCCATCGCGACATCCGTCGATGACGATAACGACAATGAGAACCAGAATACCGAACCGACTTCCCCAGGACCAACCGAGTCCAGCGACTCTGCAACTTCTTCATCTTCTTCAAGCCCCGCCCAGTCCAGAATCATCCGCCGACCCCCGCGGTTTCAAGGCACCGATGCCGCACCCTCCTCCTTTGCTGATGACGAAGACGACGACGAAGACGATGATGGCGAACCGGCCTTCTTACCATACCAGCTACAAGCAGACGGCGGCGGCAGCGCGCAGCACGACCTCAGCGCTACACTCCGCGGCAACCCATCGCGCGACTACGTAAAGCGCCATGCTGCTGCGAAGGGGTCAACCCGTTTCCATCGCTCGCAAACCTCGGACTCGTCGAGCTCCACAGCGCCGTCCGGGCTTAGCAGTAGTCGGACGGGAGCCGGCGGCGCCCCGGTGTCGCCGCGAAAGGCGACAGAAACTGTAGGACGTAGCCCTGGGGCGAGATACTCAAAGAATAGTGATAGTGGTACACCAAGTATAGGGAGTAGTTTTAGTGATCTTGATGGTATGTATAAGCTGAGATTTTTTTTTCCCTTTCTATTTTCGTCCTTGTTAGGTATGCAGTGGCGAATATTAGAGGGAGATAGGTTATTAGGATACGACGTAACAGTTGCTAATAAGCTTGTAGATACTTCAGTAACGCAGTCCGCGATGGAGGAAGTGATCGCGAGCCAGATACAACATGGCACGATAAGTAGTCTTATCAACGCAACATTCCGGAGCAGGTATCTCCCTGGTAACTCGAATCAGTGAGGCACGTTTAAGTGTGGTCGGGTTTGGTGCCTAACCTAGGCGCTTTCATTTATGCGTTGTATTTTTGCTTGTGGTGATTTTCATGGACACCTCTTCACTCGGATGGTCGGTCAGGAACGGATCGGTTGGGCTAAGTTAGAGTTAATTTGGGTTTGTCCTTGTGAAATCAGAGACGAGGACAGACGGTATGTACGGCGCTTAAGGGTTTTAATATTGGTCAGAGCAGGTGTTTTGGAAGATTGGGCTAGATTGAACTCGACTGGCTTACGCCTAAGTATGTGTACGTACGCATACAATATCATAACGTATTTGTGTCAGGAGAATACCTAGGTATTATTATAGTGTTACACTCCGATTAGAAAGTGATCGATGATATATGACTACCATGGAAGGTTTCTCTTCAAATTCCGGATTATAATCGAACCACGGCGAGGGTATCAATGCCGCCAACGTAATAAAACAAGCTTGTCTTGAGGGCCCAGTTAAGGCTTCACCAATATTCTGCATGATTACCTGAGAGGAGCATTTCTAAAATAAAGTAGAAATAAACCCATCATCTCTGGAGTTATGCTGATTTCTTGGTTTCTATCAGTCCTCCGGGGCAGTGGGTATTTACATGTCTTTTTGAAGCTGGTTAAAATAGATAAATACGAAAGATAATGTTAAATTTTATAAGTGTGCATTGGGCGCTTTATTTGATTTTTACCTAGAAGCCATACCTCAGTTATCCTAACGACTGCACGATCAGTATCACGGCAAGGAATAGTAGGGGCGTATAGAGAATGACAGCAATGATTTTTGGTTTTATTTCAGTACCTAAGGCACAATAATTATGGTGATGGAGCCAGAGTTTTCGTATCAGATCAAACTAGGAAACACAACTTCTAATCATAGGCAATTAAGCAACTGGGTTCATAATGACACACGGCATTGGAGATTATTCTCTTCATTAGGCCGTAATACAACGCGCATGTTAATGCAAAGTTCCTCCTGGGTGTCCACCTTAAACATTCCACCGTTTTCTTTTATGTCGATCCTTTGCAACAGACGAATAAATGGGACAACTGTGAGCAATCCATACCACACATAGCTACCTAAGTAGACAAAAGCAATGCTGATGATGCCAAACTCCTGTACCTGCAACAACTAGGCCATCTCGCTCCAAAATCTGCCAAGATCCACCCGCTCGTGGGAAACAAAGTCATCTAATTCTTCATGCTGTCCGGCATCGAGAAGCATTAACCGGGAGATGGCAAACATCTGCCCGAAGTCATAATCACAAATGTAGACTGTTGATGCCGGGGCTAGGTTGTCGCATGAACGGATGCTTAGAAACGGGATGCTATCTCGTGTTCCTCAACTACAGCAAAAGTTAGCATCTTGTCAGGCAAATGAATAAGAAAGCTCATAATTTACAACATACCATGGCCACTGTTCCCTTCTCGGCGAATGGGAGTCCAGTGGCTCCACTGAATCTCGTCGTTGCGGTTGGAAGGCAGAGGGATGGGCTGGTCGAAAGATGCGGGCTCTTCATTCTTGACTGCGCCGAAGCGGGAATCCTTAGGAGGAGGGACAGGTTCGGTGGCCGAGCGGGAGCCGAAAGGCTGAGGGGAACCCTCTGAATGGGCCGTGTCAGGTCCAGAATGAAGAGCGCTAGCGCCCTTAGCAAAGCGGTTCTTGCGAGCTCGCCAGACGAAGACTCCTACGACAGTGAGAAGAACAAGGCCGCAAATGCCGGTGATGACGCCGATCTCAAGGCCAGTGGGCTGGTAATGCGTGCCGCTGTTGCCTAGGTCAGAAGGCGGGGCTCCGCCGTCGAGGGGAGAGCCGGCGTCGTAGTGGTCGTCAGAGTTGGGAACAGGCGACATTGTGATGCAGGTTGAAAGATGACAAATTCAATGGTGGTTATGGGAAAGGTGATGGACACGCTGACTAGATTATTAGTCAAGCCGTCTATGGGGGACAAGATAGATGTCTGTTTGACGTGGTAAGATTGAAGGTCGGTCAAACAGAAAGGAAGGACGGTGTTGTGACGGTGTTGTCTTGTTGTCGTGCTGTCGTGTTGTCGAGGTTGAGAAGTTGTGCACCAAGAACTCTCTGATAACCAGAGAATTAAATGGGGAAAACAGAGAAGGAAAAGGAAACCATCTAGCAATGTAAAAGGTTGCTAGAAATTTAGAAATTTAATTTATGAAAGAGTTGCAGAGAATATAATTCCTAAGGCAGCTTCTTTTCGAGGGCAGGATCTAAACGCACAAAAACGCGACTTGGAAATATGTACCTATGCTCCAAAGTGGCAAGAGCAACGGCATTTCCTAAGGAAGGAGCCGGCGATTTAACTTCAGGGGATAAATATATGCAGGTACATACCGGCAGTGCCTGTAGTGCCTGTAGTTCCTGTAGTTCCTGCAGTTTCTATAGCAATTAAGATGCCTAGGTAAAGTCTATTTCGTTATCGTACCGTTATTTCGATGCTACATGTTATGTACCTCTAATGCTATTCGGATTCACTTACACCACGAGGCTACCTTACCTAAACTAATGTTAGGTAAGAAAAGTGAATAGAAGGTTAGGTACTCTTTCTTATCCACCCTCACATGCACATGCACATGCACATACTCCTTTATGTCTCCTTCTACAACACCATCTTTTTGCAACACTCTTATTCGAAGGAACATCCCAACCATACCCCAACCAGGTAAGATCCCATGTTCGTCCTAAGCTTCCCGTCTGCTCACCAGGGATTAGATCGCCAACCGTCTTGTTTTTAGATAGACCCTGATACTATTGGCCATTCTCTCGATGAATGACCCAAAACGGAAATACCTCGTGCTCTGGTGACTCAAAAACCTAAACATCTC